CGTGTGCCGCCCTCCGGCGAGAGCAGCGTCCCTGGGCTCCGTGCGGAAAGTGATCGTGTTCCGTCAGAACGGCTGTGCTGAAGCGAGGCGGAGCTTTGCAATGTTAAAAAAAGAAACCCAGAACAAAAGTCAAGTGTTATTTAAACGTGTATGTGCAGTGTATGGATCCCCAGTGTAGCAGGAGCAACAAAAGCTGGGAAAGCCCAAGTCACTCCCTTTGTTTCTTACTTACAAGTTGGGAACACAAGTTCTGGGAGCAAGAGCTGACATTGGAAATATTTACTTAAATTTAAACTGCTAAGGTTAAAGGAGGGAAGGTTTTGAAGGCAAAAGTCCTGTTGTCTTTGAGGATGTGCACACCTGTTGTAGCCACAGATTTATAGCTGAGACACTCTTGTGTCTGTTAAAATTCAAACTGGTTTGTACTTCATATGAGAGAAGAGTTATTTTTTGCCTGCTTGTCTCGTGTAGCTGTTTTCCTCTGGAGTGCTTATGGTGACACACTCAGTTCAGAAGTGCTGTGGCACTGCTGTAGCTCCCTCCCTCAGTTGTGCAGCCATGTGCAGTGCCTGGTTTAAACCAGAATCAAATAACACCCTGCCAAAGCTGTGGGGCAACACCTGCCCCTGTTTGCCAGCAGCACCTCAGTCCTGTTTGGTTCTGTGCTTTCAGCCTGTGAACACCAGGCTGGAGTGTGGTTGTCACTAAGTTCCTGCCTGTTACAAGCTTCCAGTATAAATAATAAGTGGAACTGAAATTGTTTTCCCACGTTTTCTGCAGCTGCAGTTTCCCCAAGAGTCCAGCCTTGGATGTAAAGCCTTGACTGTAGTTCCTGCTGTTGCCTTCCTCTGCCACCTTGAGCAAGATTATTTGGATTCAGCAAAAGACTTGGGCATATTACTGAATACAGGCATTTTTGTAAGTGGATTTAAACCCCATCAACTTAAATATGTCATTGATTTGGGATCACACAGACTGACTTACTTAAATGTCACAAGCATCTACACCCTGTCCAAATGTGTAACATTCAGTCTATCTGAAAGTAACCATTAATATCTCTGCATGTATTTTCTCAATGTGAAAATAGACAAGGAGTTTGTTCTGAAGAAGATTTGAAGTTTTATTAATGTTTATCTGGTGACTTTAAAGACAAAAATGCTTTATTGCTGTGCAGTTGTCGGTCTGATTTAACCACAGGCAGGGAGAGCCAGTGGTGCACGAGCCAGCAAATGCTCATTGCTGAATGAGTGAAATTCCTGTCAGACTTTATTTTCTTTACATGCAGAACTCATCATGATGATGTATGAATTAATTCAGCTTAGAGTTCAAAACTCCCACTGCTTCCTGCTGTGGTTAATTCTGGATTTACTCTTCTATTAATGCATATTAAAGACTGTTTTTAGCCTGTCTTGCATATGTCATCTTCTTGTTTGAGTTGATGGGAATGTTTTATCTTGTAGCAGTGAAGGTTTTCTATAAAGCAGCACAGAGCTCTTTCATATTTTTTGCCTTTACTAAAATGATGTTTCAGGCAGTTAATTGAATATAAATTATGGGCTTACTTATGAAGAAAAAATTACTTACAGGTTATAAAAGTGTATTTACCTCTTCACACTTTTTATCAGTGGTAAAAAAGACTGGAAATATGAGTGTCCTTTTTCAGAATGAAGAAATGCTAGTTAGAAAAAGTTCCATTTCTTTTGTTTGCACCCATCTAGTAGATGTAAGTGTGTCTGCAGTAGCTAGAACTTGTTTTTGCATTGGGGCTGGTCTGTAGAGGTTGGTCAGGATACTCAGAACAGCTGTGGGACAAACACTGGTGCTGTTCTAGCAGGGGTGGCAGTAATGAAAATTATTCCTCAGTGGAATCATTGTTCCTCAGTTGCTGGGCTATCTCTTAGCATGGGGTGGTGGTTAATTGGTTATTAAGTATTCCTGTAAAGTATTGTCTTTTATTTCTGAATGTTTTTTCTGTGAACAGAATAAATATTCTAATCCTGTTTGCTTTCCAGGCCTCTTTGTGACAGACTCTTCCTTCTATTCTTGGAGACAGACATTGTGAATAGTTGTGAACATGGTAAGGGTTTTTTGAAGTGTTTTGGTAGAAATAAAATTGAGAATTTTCCTCTTTCCCTGGACTAAGAGTAAATTGCCATAATGAGAACTTTGTTTTTGGAGTGATTGTAGTTATTGGTAAATTTAAGAATTTGGAAAAAAAATCACTGTAATGCATATGGCTATTTAGGAAAGCTCTTGCTTGCAAGACACTTGAAATTTGTTTTTTTCAGCTGATTTTGGATGGGAAATGGTTTTGATTTATTTGATTTATTTATTCGCAATTAGAGATGATTTAATTAATGACAGCTCTTGTAACTTTGTGTAGAGATCTCTCAGTATTGTTTGTGTGTCAGTTAATTAATAAAAAGAGAAAAATCCAGTTTTCAAAGGACACTGGGACATCTGTAGGTGCCACATTTCTCACATTTCTTGTGATGTCTCAATTGCCGTTCCAGATCCGCATTGCAGCGCTGAACGCGAGCTCCACGCTGGAGGATGACTATGAGGGTACCTTCAAAAGCCATAAAACACAGACCAAGGAAGCTCAGGTGAGTCATTCCACAGTTATCTTAATGAAGTTTTGTCTTGATGGGAGTTTTGTCCTCTAGTTGTAGGGATTTGTTCAACCATGATATTTTGTTCTTATAAAAGTTTAGTTACTCTATTTCTTGATAGAGTAACTAAAACTTCACTCGAATTATTTTAGGACAGTAACACAAATGTTCTGCTGTATAGCAGAAAGTATTGAAAGTGTGAAACCACTGAAATACATAATAAATATATTTAATAAAGTTTTCTTAATAAATACATTCTAATTATTTCAATCACAGGAAGCAGAAGCTTTTGCTTTGTACCACAAAGCTCTGGACCTTCAGAAACATGACAGATTTGAGGAGTCTGCTAAAGCTTATCATGAGCTACTTGAGATTCGTCTTCTGAGAGAGGTCAGTGACCTTGGGACAATGACACTCCAGAAACTGTTTGCTGAATTTATCTTACTTCACTTCTAACTGGCTAACTAGAAATGTCAGTACTTGTTACTTGTCTGATTCCTAATGCCCACATTGCATTTATTTTTTCATTTCACTAGGCAGTTCTTTCTGGTGATGAGAAAGAAGGGCTGAAACACCCGGGTTTGATGTTAAAATATTCCACCTATAAAAACCTGGCACAACTGGCAGCACAGCGGGATGACTTAGAGACAGCCATGGAGTTCTATCTGGAGGTACAGTGCAGCTGAAATTAGACACTGGAGTCTAAATATTTGTAAAAACTTTATAAAATACAGACAGACACATCCAGCATACATCACGTCAATGTACAGTTGAATACTCTGGTTTTTCTGATGCTCAATGGGATAAAATTGGTCCACCAAAGCAGTTGTGGTCCTGCTGCAAACTAAAGCTCTGCCAGTCCTGCAGCAAGGTGGGTTTGCATGTCTGAAATGTGGATGATTCTGTTTGTTGTGTTTCCAGGCTGTAATGCTGGACTCCACTGATGTCAATCTCTGGTACAAAATCGGCCGTGTGGCGATAAAGCTGATCCGCCTGCCCTTGGCTCGGCACGCTTTTGAGGAAGGGCTCAGGTGCAATCCTGACCACTGGCCTTGTTTGGATAACCTTATCACCATTTTGTATACACTCAGTGACTACACAAGTGAGTACAGTGCATGAAAAGCATCTCAATATGTGATTTTACATACCAGAAAAAATTGTTACAATGAAATCTATAGGTTGAAGTGTGTCTTGCTTAAGCAATGCAGCAGGGTTTGATAGAGACTGCTACTCCATGATAGAGATTTTACTGAATTATAAAGCATGATAGTTTAGAGAAGTTTTATTATTTATTTTTGGTTGCCCTAAAAATAAATGTCTGTGGTCTCACAGATCAGAGCCTCTGCAGGAAGTTCCCTATACACTGTTCCTCTGCCTTTCCACCTATGTTGGTTTTGGCTTTCTAGTAATTTCCTGCTGCACAGATCTAGGGTTTAGGAATAAATCTGCAGTCTCATTCATAGCCTGGAAGGATTAATTGTAGTTACAGCCATGGCTACACTGCTTGCTTCACTAATGGAATCTGCAGTGAAGACATTTGATAACATAAAAATGGTGAATAATTGTGTTGTTGTTTTATGGCTCTAATTTCTTCTGTGCCAGAACAGGCTTGAAAGTAAGTGAAAGATGTACTGCAAACATTGTTTAATCAAAATTAATTACATTTTTTTCTGGATACAGCACCTAGGAAGACACAATAGGCTATTTTAACTGTATGCATGTAATTGTTTAACACCTTACAAAGCAATTGGACTAATTAATGTAAATGTCACATTTGGGTGGAATTCAGTGGTGTATGTGAGGCCCAGAAATGGGAACTTTGAATGAACCAAACCAGCCATTGACCATTCCATTTTTATTTCTCTGTCAGCATGTTTGTACTTTATCTGCAAAGCTCTGGAAAAAGATTGTCTGTATAGCAAAGGATTGGTTCTGAAGGAGAAGATCTTTGAGGAGCAGCCTTGCCTCCAGAAAGATTCCCTAAGGATGTTCCTCAAATGGTGAGTTTTGTCTTACTAGAGTATATACTACCTTTGGAGTGTAAATTTTGGGTTTGGGGTTGCTCAGATCTTGTGCTTTTACCTTGCTGATCTTCCTTCTGAATAACAACATGTTGGTGCTGCTGACAGAATGTTCTTCAGGAATTCCTTTTGGAGCAAGGTAGAAAGATGAAAATAATCTATTTGTTGCTGCTCATTTATTTTCATTGCTAGATCTCTTGTAATCATCTGCCTTTGTTTTACTAATTAGTTCCTGATCCCTGCAGTATTCACTTTAGTTTTCCTAATTAAAACAAACCAATAAGCAAAACAACTCTCACTCTCCAAGAAAACCTCACCAAAAACTCTTCTTTTCTTTCTGTATGAATTTTATAGGAGGAGTGGGTAGGAGGAAAGTGGGAAAATAGAGGCCCATAAAATTTACAGGATGTGTCTAAGTTAACTGATCATTCAGAACAAAGATTTCTGATGGTTGTCACATCTATAAGTGTGCCATAAAGTTGCTAACATGATGTTATGTGAATGCTTCTTTTAATGCTGCTTTTGTTACTTTATATGATGGAATTAAATGAATCCCCTCTAGGCTTTAATAAAAGAACCCAGCAAACAAAAACTTTCACTTATCTCCATTTTTGATTATTTCTTAGTGACATGTCAATCCATAATGTGAATGTGAGTGCAGCTGAAGCAGGGAGGATCATAAATGAGGCTCTGGAGCTCCGTGAGAAGAGACAGGCGCTGCTGGTGCGGGACAGGGAGCCCGACCTCAGGCTGGTGCAGCCAATTCCCTTTCTCACGTACGTCTTCACATCTTCTCTTTTCAAAAAGATCCTCTGAGGCACATATCCTGATAACTGTGTTGTGCTTCAGATTTCTTCTAAACACCATTTTTTTCCTTGTAAAAACAAACCAACTCCCTCAGCGTTTTCTTACTCGGTTATAGGTTGGTTTGGTGTACTTATGGTTTTAGCATCAGCCCCACAGCTATTAGTTTTCAACTTTTGATTTTAGGCCAGTGATGTAATAAA